TTTTTGTTTTTTTTTTCCCTTCCATCATGCAGAGTGTTGTCCCTAAAGCCCCTCCCACCCTCCCATCCACCCCCCCTCCTCCCTCCCTCCCCCTCCCCTCCCTCTCTCTCCCACCCCGCCCTTATTTAGGCTTTCCATTTGCCTATTCATCTTTTGAGGGTCCCACCCCTTCATAGATTTACAACTTGGGGTTGAGCTTCACCCATGCACGGCGCCCCCTACCCCCCCTACCCTTGGTCTATCTTTTAAGATTTCATTTGGTTCCTGCAAGATTCTAAAGTCTCAGTAAAATATTATAAAGCCCCTTCTGTGTTAATAGAAAGAAAGAGGGGAGGAGACAAGAAAAAAAAAAAAAATTAAAATAAAACACAAATCTCCCCTCAATCCCCCCTATTATGTCCTTCTTTTAACTAATTTCCAATCTTCTTTTCCTCTTACTTCACAATAACCTTCTTCCTCCTCCCATCCAGGGATCTCCACTATTTGTAGATCAAGTCTCTCACAAAAATCTCTCAAGTCCTCAGGGAATCTCAGAAGAGCTGTAACTCCATTCTACCACCCGATTAAGCATTCTGGTATACCCCATCTATAGTGCACATTCTGCTTTTTCATCTGCTCTAATAGGGGTTTTCAAAGTTCTCCTTCTCCATATTGTCTCTGGTGTCAAGTCTGCATAAATCTGTATATTCATATCTCCATACTTGATATTTGCTTTTCCTTTTGTCTTTTTCCAAATCTCTTCTTTATCTCCCCTTATCTGGAATTGGACAATTATATCTCTTGGTTTCTCTATTCCACTTCTTTGTTTCATTCTTCCTACTCTATATACAGCTTCAAGATTCACTACTTCTGTTTCTGGTTTATCCAATATAGAGTTTATGATTCTACATGTTATGCTACGTATCTCTTCTCCCTTTACGGTCTCTAGTACTCCTCTTACTCTGAGATTGTTTACCCTGTCTCTATTTTCTTGTACCTCCATCTTATAGAGTAGTTTCTTTTGTTCTTTCCTAATATCAATTGTTCTTTTTTCCAGTTCAGATGTGTCTTGGGTGTGATTTTTAACTCTTTCCTCCGTCTCCTCTATCCTCAGTAATATCTGCCCCAGATCACTCCGAATATTTACCAGTTCTTGCTTTATCGTTTTTTCTAAGTTTTTAAACATATCCGCCATCTCCTTCTTGTTTGGTACTTGTAGCTCCTTTTCTAGTTCTCTTACCTCCAAATTTTCTGTTGTTTGTTGGCTACTATATTGTATTCCCACCGAGGGCTTAGGGCTTTTTTCCCCAACCACTTGAGACCTTTATTGTGTCTGTCTGAGACCCCTTTAGCCCACTAATTTTCACACTTCTGTTTTTCATCTTTTTAGATTCGGCTTTTTTCCTCCTTCTTTTCTCCTTACTCTTGCTTTAAAGGCTGGAACCACAATAAGATCTAGACACTTTAGGCCTGGGACTCAGATTTCAATCCTCTCTATTAAGTTGTCCACTTTTCCAATATATTTCCTTTCTATATCTTCTTGTTATTACATTTAGATCGCTTGAAAACTCCCCCAGGGAATCCCCCCTTTTACTAGTCCTCTTTATCTTTCCAGCAGCAGTATACTTTTATGCAATTTTGACCATCCCAAACTGTCCACACTCACCCTCTCCTTACGATTCCCTCCGGTGGGTTTGTTAAGACAGCGTGGGCCTCCGACAAGGAGCTTTATTCCTCTCTTTTTTTTTTCTTCAGGGGGATTCCTCTGGGCTTCTCCTCCAGCAGTTCACTTCCCGGTCTTCTCTGGTTGAAATCTCTTCACCCGGGGGCGCTAGGGGCTCACTAACTGTATTATGTCACTATGCTGGGGGGGAGAAGCATCAGTGTCTCTCTCTTTCCTCAGACGCCGGCTGGCTTTCTCCCCTTCCCAGAGCTCCTCTGCGGCTGTGTCAGGGATGCGGGTGTGACCAGAAGTGAGTGGACTGACACAGAGAAACGTAGGCTTCAGATATAGTAAATAATATAATTTATTGAGACTAACAATACAAATATAAATGCAGTGCACCAAACCCCAAGCTAACACAAATACATACAACAAGGTGAAACAAACCCAAACCTAAACTGATATAAATACACAGGTACATACACAGCACAACGTAGTCAGGCAGGCCGGGTCGATAACTATCGGGCAGGTAGGTACAGGAGGAGCAGGCGGAGAGAATGGTCAGGGTAACAAGCCAGGGATCAAACAGGAGAAGTCAGCAGAGGTCAGGATCAGGCAAGGTCGGCAACAAGTCAGGCAGAAACAGGAACAGGAACAGGAATGCAGGTTACAAGATACAGGGGCCCATGGAAAAAACACACACCAAGGCCCGGACTGTGAGTCTGGCCATTCCTTAAATACAACCCCTGCAATCAGCTTCAGGTGTTTTGGCTGACTGCAGGGGTGAGTCTCTGATTGCTGAGAGCACCCGCTGGCCAGCCCTGGTACTGCAGCCCACAAGGCAGGTGAGTCCCACCGTTATTGGCAAGTCCATTCCTGACAGGCTGATCGTGAGATCCCGCCCTGTCTCTTCGTCCTCCCAGCAGCCCCCCTCCTTGGGTCGTGCTTCCTCCAGCGTTCCTCGTCTCTGCACTCTCTCTCCACCACAGCCAGGATCGCCGACCACAGACCCGGTCACAAGCAGACAGGTCCCTGGCTCAGTGTCCTCACCCCAACAGGTATCCGAGGCGAAGCGGAGGCATCAGGGAGCACCTAATTTTTTTTTTTTTTTTTTGATCACTTTTAATGCTATCACAGGGAATGCAAATATCCCCTATAACTTCAATGGGCATTGTCATATATTCTTTTTTGAGAAATCTGTGGTCTATGAGGCTCTAGATATCCCCTCTGCCCTTACATTATTTAATCTCACCAAGATTGGTGTGATCAGATGCTTTCCCAATTTACAAATGGCGCTGTTTACATCCTGCGAAACTGAAGTGATGAAATTCTTGTAGCTTCCGATTTCTTAGACTATAGAGATGATTAACACCATTCCAGTCACCAGTCAGTTCTATGGTCATCTGGCAGAAACACCGACTGCATTCTCAGGTTTCCCTGATGGCACAGGACTGCCAGAGAAGGCCTTGGAAGGCAGCGGGGAAGAGGGGGCATTGTCTCCCGCTGCTTGTAAAAGCAATCCTGCAGCTAATTAGCCACTAGGATTGCTTTTACATGAAAGCCGACTGCCAGCTGAAAAAAATTATACCAGGACATTGCCTGTAGCTGTAGGCATCATCCTGGTATAACCAAACTCCAGTGATGTACCAGTACGTTGTTGGTCCTTGTTTGGTATACAGTATATATATAGAGACATATAGCAACAGCTCCTTCCTTTTTCTGTTTCCTATTCTATTTTTGCTTGCAATTATGCCTGGTGACGCAGAATACAAGAAGATGAGCAAAAGTGATTTGAGTGCGGAATGTACCTCACGAGGAATGGACGTCAGTCGCAAAACTCGTGCAGATTTGATTCAGGATCTACAGGAGCATGATAGCCGAGCAGATCAGAACTCGGGGAAACTTGACCATGACCTTGTTCCTTGCCCAAGCCCAGAAGATTCTGCCTTGATAAGTGCTCAGCCATTGGCCTTGCATGGTACTGGGCAGCCGGCTGGGACTTGTAGTTCCACGCATAAGACAGCACTGGAAAGCAATCCACAAATGAACTTCAGAGGCCAGCTAGCTGTGAGCTTCCCTGCTGAGAAGGGTAAACAAAGGCCTGACAGGGAGGATGGAATTAATGGCCTATCAGCAGGGGGCTTGGAGCCTGAAAGCATGTCATCTGATCTGACCTGTCCTGGTGTGTCACCAGGCAGACAAACATGTGTCCTAGGCAGTGACAGCACACCTGGATTGGAAGTGCGAGGGACCTCATTGGAATTGATCCGCGGATCTCAGAGACGGGGCTGCGGCCCTCAGCTCAATCACCTCTCCTTTCCATTCAGGTACAGAAGCTGCTGGCAATGCCTATGATAGATGGTGTTTGGGTTCTGGGAAACCCGGGGAGAGCTCACCGTGCTGTTCAGGAGTTGGATGGCAGAGTGTATCCCTCCCTCTTGCCTTCAGCATACCTCACCACCCAGGAGGTGCAGGCTGAATAAGCCAAAGAGACCGGGGGAATGGCGCAGTCAGGAATCCAGGGGTCAGCTAGAGTCTGGGCATCCTCGCTAGTCTCGATCCCCAAAAAGGATCAGTTGACCAGGCTTTTTGAGGACCTTGGAAAACTAAGCGCCAGCCCTATGGGTGTGGCACACCGCATGCCCAGGGGCCATGAGGTAATGAAGCCTCCGGAAGGTGCCCCCTGTTTAACCATCATGGACCTGAGCAGAGGGTATAGGCCACCATCTCTAACCCAGGAGGCTCAGGACGAGTCAGCCTTCACCACCCCATATGGCTTACCTGAATTCACGGAAAAGCTAGTTGGGGTTGAGAACGCACCAACCACCTCCCCAGGGGTCAGGAATGACCTGCAATTTGGAGTGGAACTGGGTGCAGTTGCCCACTTTAGGGGCCTTGCGTTGTTCGGCCCTGTCTGGGAAGGTCAACTTGGGCCCCTGTCACTAGTCAGGAACAAACTGCCCGTGCCTAGTCTGACAGTCGAGAAGGGTAACTGTCAGAGGGGCATGTCAGTGGTTCAGCTTTGGGAACCACCAGTAGGAAGAGACCCCCAGAGGTCTGGGCATGGGGAGACTGAGGCAGCTGTGATTTGGCCTACTGCCCAGGCCAAATAGCAGGTTACGTCAGTCTTGGGTGCAGCTGGCTACGGTAAGACGCCTGGGTGCAACTATCCTGGCTCAGCTGGACCTGTGACTGACCTGGCAGACAGGAAACTGGCGGAACTGGTGTCCTGGATGCTAGCAGGTAAAGAGGACTGTTCATCTTGGATGAAGGTACCTGTGAACACATCTGGGAGGTGAGTTCCAGAATTCACCTGTACGGTTCCGGTGCACACAGGCACCACTACCTTCGGGTCAGATGTAGTCCTAGGTGTTACGGATCCGCCAGGTGGCACCTCTGGCAGCCCACTAGGCGGAATCACCCGGAGCGTGGGGTCTAAGTCCAGGTCTGCGTTTTCACCAGGGCCCCTGATGGTGGGGATGGACTTGGAGCAGAACCGGGACCAGGTCACGACCTCCGAGCAATACCACCCGTGGCAGAGGGAGCCTCCGTGGATAGAAGTAGGACAGAGTAGAGTCAGATGTGAGGAGGCCGGCAGGACCTGGCAGGATAAACCGGCGGTTGTCACCGTGGGAAATGGCGTGGTACTGAGACAGTAGGCAGAGAGTGGTCAGGTCGCACGCTGGGTCAGTTACCGGGGTCAGTCCGCAGAATGGTCAAACAAGCCGGGGGTCGGGACAGGAGAAGGCAGCGTAGTCAGGGACACTCCGGGTCAATCACAGGGGAAGGCAGCGTAGTCAGATAATCCGGGTCAGGGCAGGAGCAGGCAGAACGTCAAACAATCCGGGTCACAATCACAGGAAACACAGGTATCAGATCAGACCTTGCGGCGATTTATGACAGTGCAGGGCATCTTTAAATATCGCGCCCTGCACTGCCATTGGCCGCCCAGGACGCGCCCCCGGGCTGTCATTGGTCGCCCGAGGCGCGCCCGCGGCTCCTACTGCGCATGCGCGGCCTCCTGTCAGCCGCGGCCCGCCGGGATCTGGTGCCTGTGTCCTGGCGTGAGCCGCCGCTATTGCTATTGCGCATGCGCCGGGGACGGAGCCGCGGCGGACCCTGACATTGCCCCCCCCCTACAGGCACCCTCCGGGAGCCCCACTGATTTCTCCACCGCGGGTGGCCACGAAAGAACTCCCGGATGAGCCTGGGAGCGTGAACATTCTGGATGGGTTCCCAAGAGTTTTTCCTCAGGACCATAACCCTTCCATTTTATCAAAAACTGCGTCTGGCCTCCCCTCCTACGGCAACCGAGAATCGTTTCTACCTCGTACTCTTCTTGTTCACCTATGGTGACTGCCTCAGGAGGCCTGGATTCCCGATCCGGGAAAGGGTCCGATGCGGCCGGTTTCAGAAGAGACACATGAAACACGGGTGAATCCTGAAAGACTCCGGCAGTTCGAGTTCGTAAGCTACCTCGTTGATGACTCGCTTGACTTGGAACGGGCCAACAAATTTCGGACCCAATTTCCTTGATGGACACTGCATCTTCAAGTTGGCAGTGGCCAGCCAAACCCGGTCTCCAGGTTGAAGCGCCAGTTCCCCCCTTCTCCTCCTGTCAAAAGCCTTCTTGCTGTCCTCCTGGGCTTTCGTGATGGCCTCCTGAACTGTTTTGTTATTGGTCGAAAGGAAATTTAGGATGTCTTGAGATGCTGGTACTGAGCTCTCTGGCATGAGATCGGGAAGAAATGTTGGATGGTAACCGTAATTGGTGAAGAACGGGGATTGCCCCGTAGCGGAGTGGTTCGAGTTGTTGTAGGCAAACTCCGCTGACGGTAACAGCGTCAACCAGTCGTCCTGTAGGTAGGACGTGTAGCATCGGAGGTATTGCTCTAATACTTGGTTGGTCCTCTCTGTTTGCCCATTGGTCTGGGGATGGTAGGCGGACGAGAGTGACAACTTGATTCCCAATGCTTCGCACAAGGCCTTCCAGAACCTTGAAGTGAACTGGGCTCCCCGATCTGATACTATATCCTCGGGAACTCCATGTAGTCTAACTATTTCCTTGATAAATATTCGTGCAGTTTCCGGCGCGGATGGTGTCTTTTCCAGGGGTATGAAATGGGCCATCTTAGAGAAGCGATCGACAATCACAAATATGGCAGTGTGGCCTTGAGACGGTGGGAGTTCGACAATAAAGTCCATGGCTATCATTTGCCAGGCCCTCTTTGGAATTGGCAACGGGCGCAACAATCCCCAGGCCTTGCTTCTGGAGGGTTTATTCCTCTGGCAGGTAGGACAAGTCTGAACGTAGCGCTCGCAGTCCTTGACCATGTTCGGCCACCAGAATGAGCGCTGCAGAAGTTCCAGGGTCTTCGTAACTCCGAAATGGCCCGCCATTGGATGGTCGTGGCAGTGGCCCAGGACCATGGTTCGGACTCCTTCGGGTACTACGATCCGACCCTCCTTCCACAATAACCCTTCACGGTTCAGGAGAGGTGTCCCAGGCGGCGCTGGTAGTCCCATGGAAGCGTCAAGAAGTTTGGAGCGGAGTTCCGTCTGTAGGACGAGGAAATTTCCGGATGGTAGGATCGTGTCAGGTCTTGGTGTATCGTCGGGGTCCTCAAACATGCGGGACAGCGCGTCCGGCTTAGTGTTCTTAGAGCCAGGTCGATAAGTTATGTGGAAGGTAAACCGGGAAAAGAAAAGAGCCCATCTCGCCTGGCGTGGCTTCAGTCGTCTGGCTGTCCTCAAATACTCCAGGTTTTTGTGATCGGTATATATAAGGATGGGGTGTGTAGCTCCTTCCAGCAAGTACCGCCATTCTTCCAGGGCGGTCTTTATGGCCAGGAGCTCCCGATCTCCGATGTCGTAGTTTCGCTCGGCAGGTGTCAATTTCCTGGAGAAGAACGCTACAGGATGTAGCAGCTCCTTGGTGCCGTTCCTTTGAGACAGGACCGCTCCTACCGCGTTTTCTGAGGCGTCCACTTCCAACACGTATGGGGGAGAGAAGAATCGGGATGACTGAGTATCGGAGCAGAGGTAAAAAGTTTCTTGAGAACTTCAAAAGCAGTTTGTGCTTCGGTAGACCACTTAAAGCGGATCCCCTGTTTAGTCAGTTGCGTGATTGGGGAGACCAGTCCGGAGAAGTTCTTGATAAATTTTCGATAAAAGTTTGCAAAACCGATAAAACGCTGCACGCCCTTCTTATCGGTGGGTATCGGCCAATCCAGGATTGCCGAGACTTTCCGGGGGTCCATCGCGACCCCCGCGGGGGAGAGAACCAATCCCAGGAATGTGATCTTATGCTGTTCAAAACAGCATTTGTCTGCTTTGGCGTATAGCCTGTGTTGGCGCAAACGTTCCAACACCCGCATCACGTGATTTCGATGAGCCTCCAGAGAGGGCGAGAAGATTAAGATGTCGTCCAAATAGACAACCATGAAGATATCAAGGAAATCACGAAACACGTCGTTTATAAAATGTTGGAAAGTGGCCGGAGCGTTACAGAGCCCGAACGGCATGACCAGGTATTCAAAGTGTCCGTATCGCGTACGGAAGGCCGTCTTCCATTCATCACCTTCCCTGATACGAACTAGATTGTAGGCCCCCTGTAAGTCTAGCTTAGTAAAAACCATTGCGGACCTTAACCTCTGGAGGAGCTCGGGAACCAGGGGTAACGGGTAGCGGTTTTTTTTCACCGTGATCCTATTCAGGTCGCGGTAGTCTATACAGGGCCGCAGTGTCTTGTCCTTCTTCTCTACAAAGAATAGCCCGGCTCCGGCTGGGGACGTGGAAGGGCGAATAAACCCCTTCTGAAGGTTTTCGTCTATGTATTCCCTCAAAACTCCTGACTCGAGCTCTGATAAAGGGAAAATACGGCCGAACGAAATTTCGGATCCGGGCAGGAGGTCTATGGGACAGTCGTAAGATCGGTGTGGGGGAAGTGTGTCTGCCCCTTGCTTACTAAACACGTCCAGAAAGTCGTGGTAGGCCGGGGGAATAACCTGGGACAGATCTGTATCCCCATCCATGCATAGGAGTAATTGGGGGACCACGGGCCCTGAGACGTGGCAACTTTTCAGACAGTATGTGGACCGAAACTGCACGGTTCCCTTCTCCCAGTCAATCTGGGGGTTATGGGCTCGCAGCCAAGGAAGCCCCAGAATGACCGGGAAAAGGGGGGACGCGATGGCGTCCAGACGGAGGAATTCCTGGTGATGATCAGCCATTGAGGCGAAAATAGGGGGTGTCTCCTGATTCACCACTCCCGATTTTAAGCTAGACCCATCCGCCAGGAAGATGTTCAGCCCCCTTTCCTTGGTCTGGAGTGGGATACCTTGCTGGTGAGCAAACGTGAGATCAATAAAGCAGCTACATGCCCCCGAATCTATGATAGCTGTCACCGTCAAGGTTCTTCCTGGGAGCTGTAAAGACACCGGTATGGCCAGATAACTTGACTGATCACCCCTTTCCGCAGATAACGGAAAAAAAAAAAAAAAAAAACTAGAAGTGGACTTACATTTTTTCGTAGGACAGGAGCGCACCCGGTGGCCAGCTTCTCCGCAGTACAGACAGAGGTTCTGTGATAGTCTCCTCTGACGTTCTTCGGCCGATAATGTGGACCGAGCCAGTCCCAGTTGCATGGGTTCGGAGGTGTCCTCAGGTTCCGAACTCCGGGTAGTGCTTCCTGTGGGCGGGAATAATCCCCTTGATGGTACCCAAGCCGCCCTTTGACCTTGGTTGCTTCGTTCAAGCCGGCGTTCTCTCAGTCTGCGGTCAATTTGTATGGCCAGCTCGATTAGCTTCTCTAGGGAGTCAGGTAGGCCTACCCGTGCTAACTCGTCTTTGAGTGACTCAGATAGCCCGATGCGAAATTGGTGACATAATGCCGCATTGTTCCATCGGGTGTCCCCCATCCAGCGTCTGAATTCAGACGCGTACTCCTCGGCTGCCCGGCGACCCTGCCGCAGAGAGTACAAGGTGGACTCTGCGGAAGCAGCTCGCTGAGGGTCGTCATATAGTATGGCCATGGCTCTAAAAAATTCAGTCACGGAATCAAGATGGGGGTCGTGATTCTCCATCAGGCGATGAGCCCAATCCTGGGGCTCATCCTGAAGGAGAGAGACTATAAACCCCACCTTGACGGTCTCGGTGGTGAACGTGCGGGGCTGCAGGTCGAAGAACAGGATGCACGCATCCGGAAAGCCCTGAAGCGGCTTCGGTCTCCACGGAAGCATTCTGGTAAGGGAACGCGGGGTTCAGGAGTAGGGGGTGCGGCCCCTGCTCCGGGAGCTGGGGTAGCAGGTGATTCCCCAGGAGAAGCTGCGGGACTCGAGCTCTGTGCCGGGGATGTAAGGGTGACTAACGTCTCCATGCGGTCCTCAAGGTGGGAGCATCGGGTATGAAAAGTCTGGACCGCTTGGGTTAGGGTCGCCATATGCTGGCAGATATCCTCCAGGGAGGCCGGACCTCTTCCTGACTCTGTCATGGCCACAGGTATAGGAGCCTGGGAACTGAGTCTGGAGGTTTTTTCTCAGATATGCTTCTGAATGCAGACAAGCTTTGAATTTGCAACAGGAGATAGGACATCACTGTTCTGTCAATTTTCTATTGCAGGTCATATAATACATATTAACACATACATCTGAAAGGACATCTTAGATGGTTTTCAGTCACATTTATTTTAGTTGTGTCTCTAAAATGTATGTTTTTTGTAAAAAAAAAAAAAAAAAAAAAAATATATATATATATATATATATATATATACATACATTTAATATATGGCTAAAATCCTAGAGCACTATAGGTTCACTAAAGAGAAAGTACTATCTTTCCTTTCTATGGTAAAGGATTCACTTGGGATAAGTCATCTATTTCTTTAGGTGAACTGCAGCTTGAGCTACTGAGCCTATAAACAAAAGTTTTTTTTCACAGGCTAATAAAATATCTACTCTAAAGGTTTTTTATTGAAGAAGAAAATACATTATGAATATGTGAATGAATTTCTGGATTTATTTTGGAAATGTACCTATACTTATGGTGATCTAAGGCTAGGATTAGACCTTTGTGGTGCATTACCGCATGCACATCAATATTAATAATGTGGTGTGTTAAAGTAGTGAGAAACCCCCTTTTTTTTACCATGCATTGCCACAATGCAAAAAAAGGAATCTGCCATAAATGACATACATAAAATTCACCAGTTTTAAACTCAAAGGCAAAGACATAGTACAACAATGCTGTAGCATTGTGTGTCTGGCAGTCTAGTTCGGTAAAGCAGTGCAGTGATTGTATGAAAATTTCAATATTCCATGACAACCAAATTTTACTTTACTGAAATCAGTTCAGTGGTTGCCAAGGGCCATTTGCTTAGGGCAGCACATCTTTCTTTGCTTCACGTAATTAACCTGAAAATAGATTTAGTAACTCTAAAATACTCCACCAGCTGTATTTTTTAAGTGTAATATTTTGAATATGTACCTGTGCTTATGTGCTCCCATGAAAGTATGATATTAGTGAGTATATATCAGTCAGATTTACAATTATTTTTTTATACAGTGTAAGTTACTTATATAGTGAAGGAGTAATAAAGTGAAAAAATATTGTGTAGCCAAAGTTCACTTTTTTTCTAATCAGGGTCTTGAGCTACTGTACTGTATGTCCCCATCTCTTAGACTTTTAATTTTCCTCATGGGAACCCTCTGGTGTCACTGAAATTCCCAATGATATGTTGATTTAAACCTCAAAGGTATTGTTACGGATCCGCCAGGTGGCACCTCTGGCAGCCCACTAGGCGGAATCACCCGGAGCGTGGGGTCTAAGTCCCGGTCTGCGTTTTCACCAGGGCCCCTGATGGTGGGGATGGACTTGGAGCAGAACCGGGACCAGGTCACGACCTCCGAGCAATACCACCCGTGGCAGAGGGAGCCTCCGTGGATAGAAGTAGGACAGAGTAGAGTCAGATGTGAGGAGGCCGGCAGGACCTGGCAGGATAAACCGGCGGTTGTCACCGTGGGAAATGGCGTGGTACTGAGACAGTAGGCAGAGAGTGGTCAGGTCGCACGCTGGGTCAGTTACCGGGGTCAGTCCGCAGAATGGTCAAACAAGCCGGGGGTCGGGACAGGAGAAGGCAGCATAGTCAGGGACACTCCGGGTCAATCACAGGGGAAGGCAGCGTAGTCAGATAATCCGGGTCAGGGCAGGAGCAGGCAGAACGTCAAACAATCCGGGTCACAATCACAGGAAACACAGGTATCAGATCAGACCTTGCGGCGATTTATGACAGTGCAGGGCATCTTTAAATATCGCGCCCTGCACTGCCATTGGCCGCCCAGGACGCGCCCCCGGGCTGTCATTGGTCGCCCGAGGCGCGCCCGCGGCTCCTACTGTGCATGCGCGGCCTCCTGTCAGCCGCGGCCCGCCGGGATCTGGTGCCTGTGTCCCGGCGTGAGCCGCCGCTATTGCGCATGCGCCGGGGACGGAGCCGCGGCGGACCCTGACACTAGGCCTGAGGAAGAAGATGGGAGAGGGAAATCTCCTTCTCTGCCTCGACAAAAAGCTACATATTAATATGTTAGCAGATGGCACCCCTGAGCCGAAGTGTTTTGTGAACAGGTGGGCACCCCGGCAGTCGCCACGATATCCGGATAGTCACAGCCGACTGGTGCTCACCCGTGACCACTCACTTGGTTGGCACAGCAGTGTTGCCGGAGAGAACAGCTTCCTTTTCAGATGGAACTTGGTTCACACGCAGTGCATATCACACCAAGGTGAACCCCTGGGCACAGCAGCTCTGTGCCCTGGTCAGGCAAGCCCACGGCAGAAGTGGGTTGCGTCAGGAGAGAAATTGGAGTTACCAGATAACACTTTTAAAATCCATTTTTCCCCTATGTCTTATATCTTGGAATATGAGAGACTTCCATAAAAACCAGGCATATCTTCAGATTGCCCACGAGAAGACAAACAGTTTGATAGGTCACACTCCCTGACTGGAATACCAAGGAAAGCAGAAAATTACATATCTGGAACCCTTCAAATATGTATTTCATATCTACCTGTTCCTCAGATGCGTCTGCATAGTAATCTACCCGCAGGTGGAATGTCACTTGTGCATAGGAAAAGTTATGAGCCAAAATATGAACTATAAGAGATTTTGGCTCTAGCTTAGGTCTACACCCAGACCTTCCCTCCCTAAACGGGGCATTGGTCCTTGACTTCAGAGACACCCCCTGCTAGGGAACTACAAAATGGGCTGTCAGGCCTAAGAGAGGAAGTTGAAGAATTCTCCCTTTTAACATCAGAACCAACCTGGGAGACGTGCCCTTTTGCTCTGAAACTTGATCAGCAAACCCAAGGCTGATTGGCAAGTACTTTAACCTACTTTCTGTTACCTCTTTGCTGTGCTGTTGTTCTCTGTATATTTATATATATATTGGTTACATCTTTTTTCTGTAAATATTTTTATTGCACCCTTTTGACCTTTTAGTAATAAATCTTTCCTTCTGAAAGTGTTGAACTGTTTCTATAGCTCCTTATTGCAACTTACAAATTCTTGCCTCTAAAAGAGCGCTACTGTGTTTGTTTAACCCTCTGTATAACCGGTCTGCAGTGACAGTGTTATACAGACGATTATCTCCACCATCATAGTGTTATTGCTGGTATAGCCGAGTTTCCTCTTTCTCTGTACAAAAAGGAGGTGGTGGCAGTGTGAAGGGTTAATTGCGTAATTAACCTGACCCAGTAACAATCGCTCCCAGGCTGCCGGTACATCGATTGTGGTCCAATTAGCTGGAAAATCATTGTGCAGGGTGCAGCTGGGCGTGGCATTGTTACTCACGTGACATTGCGGTTTTAGATTGGCTGGTCCTTCGGTCATGAGTTTGGTGAGAAGGTCAGGGGTCTGACGCCGCGTTCGTCACAGTACCCCATATGGAAAAAGGATGACACCAAGTCCCAGACTATCTTGCCACCACTCCCCATGTGGTCTGGGCATCCAGGGGGCTCCACATGATTTTCTTTTCCTTCGTAAATCTGAAACTTATATATATATCGTGTTGCTCACTCACAGGTCGTATACATCTTGACCCCATATCTGGCACGCTTGCTGGGGAGAAATTGTTTAAATGCAAGGTGGCCAGAAAAATTAAAGAGGGACTTATCAACGTAGATTTTTTGCTGGGGAGTATAGACATCTGCAAATTTTTGGTTAAGGTGATTTACGAGGGGCCGAATTTTGTGCAGCCGGTCAAATTCAGGGTCACCCCGAGAACAACACAGTGTGTTGTCATTCAAATGCATAAAACATAACATAATATACTCTCATATCTATGCCTGGCCATAGCAGTAGAGAATATGGGCATATGATGAATCGGGTCTGTGGACCAATACAACCGCAATTTCATTTTTTTTAGTAATGCCCATGTTGAGCGTTCGGCCCCCAAAAAAAGTAAATTTGGAAACCGTAATGGGTTTCCATGTGGATGGTCTGGCAAGGTTTGAATTTGGGTTGGCGGCAATAAATTGTTGTGCATATAAATTGCTTTGATCCACAATCAATGCATACAGATCTTCCGTGAAAGACAGCTCCAAAAAAACCAAGGGGAGTAGTTAAATTTTGCTGTTTCCACCTGAATTCCGGTTTTGGCAGTGAATGGGGGAAGTATGGGTGCTGATTCTGCGAAATCTGTGGTTTTGTGTGCAATGTATCAAGTGACAGTGACATACTGACATTGCACTTGCAGGGGGAGAAGGGGGGGTAGACGTAGGGGCTAAACGCAGATGCCGGGGCTGATAACGCTTGGGGACACTATACTAATGTGATCGCCGGTATAGTACTGATCTGATCAAAGATATTGATCCGTTCAGACACTATACTAGCAATGGAGGTATATTGTGTATGAGCGTGTTCCTGGCAATCAAGGGGTTAAATGTGATTACTGGTGTACTGATGAGCAATCTGAAGCTATCTGGGAGGGGCGTAAAAACCATGGGAGTGTGAATCACATATATATACCTGATTTTGCGCACCAGTGCTGCCCTGTAGCAGTATTTCTGCTATAGGGCGGTCAGGAAGCGGTTACAGAAGCGGTTTGTGTTACGGCGCTGTGTTACTTTAACTGACAATTGTGTGGTCATGCAACGCTGCCCCCAAATGTGTTTTTTTTATTTTTTGTGCTATAAAAAAAAGGACCGACAATATTGAGAAAACATTTTGGACTTTTTGCTATAAAACATGTTCAGTAAAAAAAATGTAAAAATCAAATTTAGTCATAAATTTAGGCCAAAATGTATTCTGCAACATGTCTTTGCTAAAAAAAAATCCCAATACGTGTAAACTAATTGATTTACATGAAAGTCATAGCGTCTACAAATGGCGATATATATACTGGGATTTTTTTATACTAATAATGGCGATGATCAGCCACTTATGGCGGGACTGCGGCGGACATTCTGACACTAGGGGGGAACTGACTTGGAGTCACTGACATCAGTAGTGACACCAATACATTGATCAGTGCAAAAAAAAAAAAGCACTGACACTGTACTAATGGCACTGGGGAGGAAGGGGTTAACATTTGGAGGCAATCAAAGGGTTAACTGTGTGATGGGAGTGGTTTACTGGGGGGCGGGGGATGTGTGCTTCACTGCAAGCACACTGATCGGGAGGGCTGTGCTCAGCCCTCCCGATCAGTGTGTCCAAACTGACAGGGAGGAGGGCTGCCCTCCTCCCTGTCGGTGTTTGCCGGTAATCATCGGGCTCCGGCGGGTAATCACCGGCTGGGACCCAGTGATTGACCCCTGCAGCCTCGCATGTGCCCTCTACCCGGAAATGCAAAAGCGCGTATATATACGTGATTTTGCACAGCGGTGCCGCCCTGTTGCAGTATAAGTGTCAGGGATCCCCTCGATCCCCGCCGCGATGGTCCCGGCGCAGGCGCAGTATGCCGCCCTGTGCAGGGACGCGGGCTCTAGGTCCGGGCCGGCCGCGGCGCGTGAGTTCGCGCATGCACAGTAGGAGCCGCGGCCGCCCGCTGGGCACCAATGGCAGCGCAGGGCGCGATATTTAAACGGCCCTGAGCTGTCATTCAGTGCCTTCTGGTCTTGTCCTTGCCAAGTATCCTGTATCCTGAATCTGAACCTGTACCTGTAAGTTGCTGACCCGGATTGTACCTGACCACTGCTGAATTCTCCTGCCCAGACCCTTGCTTTGCCTGACCTCTCTTCCGTATGTCCCCTATTGGATCTGACCTACTGTTGTTGACCTGGCGTGTGACCCGACTATTCTCTGCCCGCTGCCTTGTACCGTGCTGTCCTCCCCGTTACCGACCCGGCTTGCCTGACTCTGCACTTGCTCCGCCATCCATCCATCCATTCCTCTCAGCGGGGTTCCCAGACCTCCTCATATCAGGCTCTCTCCCGTGGGAGCCCCTGGCGACCACCCCTACCACTGACGGGTGTCCTCAGTAAGCACGACCTGGTCCCGGGGTACTCCAAGTCCATCCCCACCATCAGGGGCTCTGGTGAACAAGTACTCTGGGACTTAGACTCCATGCGCTGGGGACGCCTGATTAGTGGAGTGCTAGTGGTGTCGCCAGGCGGTCCCTTACAGTACCAGAAGGCCATGACTGAGCCTAGAGGAGGGCCCTCCCCGCTGGAAGAAATTTGCAGGCATCTATCTAGCAGGCCGTAGCAGCCCTGCAGGATAAATGTATGCAGCTGGGAACCGCTTCCAGACCTGCTCCCTATCTGACCCAGCCCCACAGGCCCCAGTTTCTGCACCCCCGGCTGCTCTTGAGCCAGCAACAGGGGCCTCCGCCCCGCTACCCATGGCGGAACCCCGGGTACCCCTACCGGAGCGTTTTCACGGGGACCGCACACGCTTCAGGTCATTCTGTGAGTCCTGCCTCCTATTTTTTGAACTTCAACCCCGTACCTTTTTGACAGAATCAGTGAAGGTGG